CCAAGCTAAAGCTATTTAGTTGTATGATAGTACATTTGTAATTTTAATCAGATGTGACTACCTACTTTATTCGGTAATTCTACATGTTGCCAATAGAATGCATTTATGGTTTTAACTGGTGATTGAATTAGAAAGGTTAGGGAAGGAAGCAGTCATGACTTTACTTTAATGTGCAATCCAGCATTTGCCTAACTGAGGAAAGCAATGAAAAGACTCTGACAAGATAGCAGATCTCTTGAGCTTTAATTTCAATAAGGGACTTCCGTAATACGATACAACTACATTCAGTGTTTTCTTTGACGATGGAAAAGAATGTTTTAATGTTTGTTTGAACTTCGGTTTCGAAGTGTTGAAGGAATTTATATTTTCGAGTTGCATGCACATGTAATTTCATGAGTGCTTACATATGCTATCAACCAATTGCGGCAGACATTGTTTTATTTTAGTCTCCAAAAGAGGTACACAAGACATTAGTGACATCTTGTGGCCACTTCAACCCGACGCTGTGCTTCATTGCTGAGTTTTTTAATCTGTGGTGTGGTTATCTGTGACGTTGACTGCTGTAGCACGTGTTTGTCTTACTGTGTCCGGTTTGTGCTGCTGTGTGTAGGTTTGCGTTGTTAGTTGTATTGACAAGTATTTTTGATGTTATATTAATTGAACTTACATTTGTTTGCAGCTGAATAGGATGTATCTTATTTGTTTTTGGATTAGATATAAATTACCATGTTCAGAGGTTATATTCTAGGCTTCTAAAACATGTTTCATAACCACAACCTTTACCACGATTAATATCATATTATAATGATGAATACAATATTTTGTTTGTGATGTTTTAGAGCTTGTGTGTTAAGTGTAACACAGTTTTGATAAACCGATATCGTCTCCAAATAAGCCTGAAAGTTCGTGATCCACTATAGATACTGAAATTTAGGTTATAATATAGCCCGTATGCAAGAGCGGAATATGTCAAGAGTGCTTCAGAAGTATTTGTTTTAGGATAATTGCTTTGTAAGTTAACAAAGATTACATTGAAATATTTATAAAGTTAGAGTTTAAACAGCAGGTCTAAATGCTAATTTATATTATTACATATTTGGTGGCACGGATTTTCGTTACAAATCGTCGTGAGATATATCACGTAATGTGGATCTATATACATTGCGAATTACGTAAATTATAATTCCCCCAAATAATTACAGAGAATTATAAATAAATGTGTTTTGCAAATTAACGAGAAAGAAAATTTCGTTACGGTAAAGTCGCCCATTTGACACATTCTCTCACTTGTTTTAAAACGGTCGACTGTTTTTCCAGTGGATTGAGCTGTGAAATGCAAAGTGCAAAGAGTGTGTTGTGCCGTGGTTGAAATGAACAGTTTTTAATGTGATCGCAACAATTACAATTTGTG